TAGTTGTATTAATTATTAAAATCGCTGTGTTTAATTCTTCTTTAATGGGACTATTTATTATTTCACTTAATCAATATAATTTATTTATAAATTCCACGTGTTTTAGTCAGAAAATTTATAAATTTTACGATTAATTGGTAAATATGTATTTTAAATCTATATAGAATTAGTATATTTTGTGATAGAAAAATATCTCATCTCTGAGAAAACTATACTAAACGTTAAAACATAAGTAGGGACATATCCGAGCGAAGCGAGGGTGAGTGGCTAGTATATAGATAAAAAAGTAGCGTACATACGAACAATATTACACTTCTATCTTATCGCAAGCAAATGAATACCCAGTTGTCATAAACATTTCTGAAATGTCAAATTATTTCCATGATTAAATTAAGGCTAATAAAACGTCAAACAAAAGTAGATACTCCAAGAGAGTCATAATATAAAACGGGCCTTCACATTTTGTAATAACCTATTTAGTTCACTTATTACTACTGAGTCTGAAACTGGTATTTAGCTGTAATTGCATTGTAACCTTCTAACGGCGCTGAAATCTTATGGAACCTGGAAGAATCTCGTTTAAATCGAGACTTTCCAAGATAACCTAAAATACCTAGGTATTGCCATATAAAATACTTAATTGTATAAATTATTCACTTTGTTTACTTCTGTTTTAGTATAATATCTAAACGTTTTTTTTATGTAGATTAAGCTAAGAAAGCTCCCTATGTAAAAATGATTGTTACATAATATTTGTATGTTAGTCTTTATACCCTAATAAAAATATGATTTATCGGTTACTGTAGAATAACGCTGCTAACTATTTATGACCAGTACTGTGCGATTGCAACCACTACCAAGATAACCAGACTTTCGATTTGAATTCGACTTTCGCCTTTTGTTTAAACGACTTCATCTCTGGGACTACCAGTCAGATTTTTGAAATTCTTTTTACATTATAAGCCTTGAAAAAAGTCATATATTTATTTAGTAACATCTCGCTACAACCTCCAGTCAATATAGAAATATTATTAATTAAAAAAAAGTCTTAAATAAAAGTTGTAAATAATTAAAAGATCTATTTTGATAATAAATAAATTACTCGTACATGTACATATGTGAACGGTTAGGGATATAATCGCAAAAAATCGAGCGTTTGTACGGTTCGAACGCGATAGCTCGAGAACTATTAATTATAGAACAAAAAGTTTTAAATAAAATAGATAGTAAATTTAAATGAAAAAAGAAAAGATAGTTATAGTTTTTTACGTAGGGTGAGCTGTTCTGGAGATATTGAATAAAACGCGTTTTTTGCGATAGTGGCGCCAGCGCCTCTGGTGCGACTCCTCAAACTTAGCTTTGAGCTTAGAAAATGCCCTTTTATTGAATGGCAAAGCGGAAATTGCTTTATTTTATGTAGCTTGATTCACCTATTGACACTGCAGCAGCAAAATATATATAAATAAGCTACGCGGATGCCGTAATAAGTATATTATTTATTTTATATGGATGTATGCATGTATTGCAATACGCAAATATATTTTATCGAATAATTTTTCAGGTCCTACGCTAACCTTAAATCAAATAGTGAAATAAATAAAAAAATCTATTCGTATAACGAATTTCCGCTTATAAATACCTACTCATTACAAATTGATAATTATTTAATAGAATTTTGCTGGTGGAAGAATTCACAGTAAACTAATTTTATTATTCGACGAAATTATAATTTAAGTAGGTTGTAACGTCAGTGCAAAAGGCTTATAATGTTTAAAGGGCATGGAACAGTGGTAGTGAATCTTATTGATTTTATACTGCCAATTTATGGGTTCGATATCTCGTTAAATACTATAGTGCATTAAATTAAAAAAACCCTATGTAAAAATCGATGTTTATTGTCATTATGTACATAAGATGTTTTTGTCGTGCTTCAGAGTTCAGGTACACTCTTGATACACTTAATTCTTTCTTGATAGTGTTTTGTCTCTCTCCCACTCACAGCAACGTAATAACACGCTATGCTTCTCATCGATTAACATCTGCAAAATTAATCTAAAGTATGGCTCACAAAAAGGATTTAAGATCAATTTACTATTATTAGATCAATCGGAATCCGTTTACTTTTAAGAGACTTTTTTTTTATATAAGGAATAGAAATTCGTAAAATGTCCCTGATACCTAGCTACCTCCGAGAAATGGGGAGACGCAAAGCGTTGAAAAATAGTTTTTTTCAATTTCCGGCTTACTGAGACGTTCTATCGAAAAATGTTTTCTACAAAAGTTGTAGGTCTAATAAAATTCTACAACTTTTATTAATAACACTTTTTACAATAACATGAAAGTTTTCGAGATATTTGCAAAAAAAACTCGGCTTTTAACTTTTTCCTTGGTTTTGTACTTTTAATTTTTAGAATACTCTTTTGATTTTCATGAAACTTAGCTAACTCTATTATTATAGCTTGGTCGGAGGATTATTGAAATCACATTCTACGTATAGACATACTTAAGTGCGTCATATTATATAATTTCTTATATACTATAAATAGTATATAAGATCAAAGCTCATCTCATGTAATATTTAAACATGAAGTAATATACAGTGCAAATACAATTATTTGCTTTCTATTAGCAATATCGATCTTACGGTGGGGCTACACCAGCGCGCGTACGTTATCGCGACAAGTGTAGCCGAGTAGTTCGGCACGTCGCGTAGTATTCGGGAGATGACGAATGCTTATCGCGGCATTTTCGGTAACCTGGCGCGTAGCAAAATGCGACAGTATTCGCTTGCGTGGCTACACTTCACCACTAGAGTTGCAGTCCAGATTTTGAGCGGAACAGACATGTGATATTTTGGTGGAAAAGTGACGAAGCAACTACAGTATGGATTGGAGCAATGAAAAAATATTGGAGTTTATTCAATCTTATGAAACGGAGAGTATTATAATTTATACGGGATCCTTGTAACCCCGACCACAAAAGGAAAAGTTTTGGTATATGATGCCTGGGTAAGAATTAAAAATAACCTCACATCTAAATCTAAATAGTATTCACACAATAATAAATAATAATTATAATTTACCGACATACACAACAATTTCCGTTTTATTTCGCAAGAATTATCGCCTACATCGGCCGCGAAACAGGCGAACGTTGACTGCTTTTATGTAGACAAGAACATCGGTATACCCATACACGATGTTTATATCGCGCCAACGCGACACGAATATTCGTTCGCTAATGTAGCCCCACCGTTAGAAATACATTAATACATTTTTATTTATTATGGGCTGGTTCTTATACAGGATGGTACAAATCGATGGGACATGGAATAAAAGTACCTAATATTAAAGTTATTAAGATTTACTCAAAGGAAATATTTCTTTATTTTTAAAAATAATAATATTGCATTTATTTAAAAAAAAAGCTTACCTGAACCGGGAATTGAACCAAATAAAAATGCAAAAAAGGACATCGTCACTTGTTTAACCCCCGACGCAAAACGAGGGGTGTTATAAGTTTGACGTCGATGTCTGTCTGTGTGTGTGTGTCTGTCTGTGGCATCGTAGCTCTTAAACGGATAGGCCGATTTCGATGCGGGTTTTTTTCATTTGAAAGCCAAGGCATTTTGGCGTATGATTACTCGATTAAGTGCTTCACGCGTGCCAGTGTAATCGTTAAATGACAATGAATTTGCGTGGCGGGGTTTTAAATTTTTAATTCATAATTATATCGAATTAATCGATATGGGAAGGATAAAATCCTTCGAACAAACATTGCGTCTTAGAATTGAAGAAAACAGTGAAATCTTACAAATTATACATATCGACTTCTATTGTTATAGAAGTCGTGGAACAAACGCACAGGACATGGAAGAACTTAAACACTGAAAATATTAAGTTTCTCTCAAAGGAAACATTTTTTTAATAAGTTTAACTGCATTTAATTTTTTTTAAAAGAGATGACTTGAACCGGTAATCTAACCTATGTAATTCATACATAATTCATACTTCCATACTAATATTATAAATGTGAAACTCTCTACAAACAATAATAACATTTTCACGCTTAAACCGCTGAACAGATTTCGATAAAATTTGGCAACGACATAGATTGCATCCGGAGACCGGATATACTAATTTCGAACCCCACCCCGCTTATCATACGAGTGAAGCTACGGAAAAAACTAGTTTAAAATATTTGATACGTTAAAAATAGAACACGTACGTTCGTAACCTCTAGTAGGTATACAGATACAATAAAAAAGAACATGGAAAATAATTGGCATCCAAAATGACTTCACAAATTGGACTAAATTGCGTATCTCGTGCCTTCAAAGATGTATTCAAAACAAAATATAGTCAGCCAAATTAAATTTTCCACGTGCTTCAAGTATAACTTGTATAGAATGTAGTACTGTGGAGCACTGTATAATTACTCCATGGAAGGTTGAAAGGGAATCGGTAGAGTGCCGTCTCTTTCTCTCAACCATTGACCTAAATCACAAACTTGTTTTTACTTTTCAGGCCAAGTGGGGGTAAGGACGGTAAAATTCTACATATAGGCTCTAAGTTTTCTGAGAACGTTTCATTATGGGTATATAAATAAAGCACCGAATTGTATATACATATGTATGTATATATTAATATGTCTTTTCAGTGAGTTTCTATTTGATATTATTTTTTTATTATAATAATAATATTATAATAACAAAAAGTATGTAAACATATAATAAAATTCAAAATGCGTTGAATCTGTACATTAAATATTTTTTTGGATGTCTTTATTGAAATAGTCATTATGATCGATACAGAGGCCAAATCTATAGTTTTTAGATTTTTTTCTGTATGTCTGTCTGTGACCGCATCACGAGAAAGCCACGATAATAAGAAGATATATAGACATAGAATAGTTTTTATCTCGAAAATCATCCCTTAGAATTCTTTTGAATCGCTAGTGTAATAATAAAGTGATTATTTAATTTACTATGTTTGTTTCAGACCGGCAAACACTTTCACCGCACATCACTGCTCATCAAAGCCTTCAACCATAAGTTCCGTCTTGACCTCGAGCTTAATACGTAAGTACTTATTTATAATAAAGGAAATACGGAAATTACAAATATACTCAATTATATACACATACAAAAGAAATGTACACTTAATACTGTACAAATCATGTCCGCGTGGAATTGTTGCAATAATGCTAACAGCACTCCCCCGCTGAATGGTAATGCCGATTCATCGGGAGAAAAACAAGCCACCTCTCTTATTACCAGTAGACGCGAGGTGTTATATCTTTTAAGAAATGCTTAGCACTTCAACTCCATAGGCTGAGGGTTTCTACAGGAAATGGTATAAAAGCATAATTTTGACTAAGGGAGGCATAAGTGCAGAGTATAGAAGTTATTACAGAACATACAAAACCTTTTCACAAGCTTTCGTTTAACATGCACGTATATCCAAATGAACTTTGGAACAATGAAGTAGGTTCCATTTACTAAAATAATATGTCATGGTGTACTGTGATGGTACCGAAAAGTACCTAAGCGTAATCAAGAAATAACTACTCTAGCTACTTGATCATTTGTATTTTCGCAAAAATCCTAAGGTTTATCCCACGATATGATATTGCGAAAACACGAATAATTAGACAATGCTAAAAATATTTTTCAATCTCTCATTAAACGATTAGATCATGTTTTTGCAAAAACCCTATCTTTTTCTAATAAGATTGAGAATTTTTTCACCATTGTCTAATTATCCATGTTTTCGAAATATCCCTAGGGTTTGTGCGAAAGTTTTAATTATCAAATCATACTACGACATATATATACATACTGGCAGAACCTGCGCCTTCGCTCGCGCTGAAACTGCAAAAAATCTCTAAAAAGGTAGATTCGTACAAACTTTTATTCCCTATTTAACCGCCTTATAGGACAAATTTCGAAAAATGCTAAGACAAGTATTTAATTTTATTCACGAGCACTAATACCAAGTTTTAAGTAATTCTGATTATAAATATTTTTTTGGATTGTATTATAACATATTTTACATGGGAATTAGATAATATTCCGCAGTAAAAAGTAGCCTCTACAGCCCTCCAACTATCTCTACACAAAAAATCACGCCAATCCGTCACTCCGTTTTGTCGTGAAAGAAGGACAAACAAACAAACACACTTTCACATTTATAATATTAGTATAGGTATGGATGTCTACCTATTTTATACTAACCGTTAAAACGTACCTAGTAACACTAGTCATTAGATATGGATGCTGCATTCTGGAAGGTAGAGAGCAATTTCAATTAGTTCTATTTAACAAACAAAAACAATATTATAATCAAAAGAAAAGGGAAATACGTATTATTCATATACTGATACGTAAAAAATATATTTCAAAATGAATGAACACTCAACAGTCTGATATCATTCTTGTCAACAATAAAACATAATAAATTGGGTAGTATTTGTTGATTTTTGGGAAAATAAAGCCAAATTGATATTGAAACTTCAGATATAGCAATCAATTAATTGTGACTATAAATATTGAAAAAAAGTATTTTTATGGTGATACTTTTTAAATAAAACTATATTTTTGGATTTTTTGACGTCCATACATCCTCACAAACTTTCGCATTTATAATATCAGTAGAAAGTAGGGTGTTAATTGCGATAACAAAAAGAATGAAATATCATGATTTTTATTTATTTGATTTATATAATAATTGAATGAAAAAGATAAGAAGCTAAAAGAAGTGTCTGAAGTGGCTGTTGTCTTAAAATAAATTTATTGAAGATGACTCTACAAAGTCCAATTTGACGCTGTTACCTTCTGTTACTAATTTATTACTTTACAAGAACTATATATATATATATATATATATATATATATATATATATATATATATATATATATATATATAGCCTACAATATTTTAAGATATGAATATCTATCTATCTATTTTACGCATCGAAATATATTAGATGTGCTTTGCATCGGCTGGCGCTGACTTCGAAAGTATCTGATTAGATATCTATTCTAAATGAAAACCTCCGTTTAGGTATTTTTTACATTATAGTGCCTGGAAGTCGGTTTTCATTTATTTTTTGTAAAGTATTTATTGAGAGTAATATAGGTACTTTTAGACTAATAATCCCAAAAAGCCAGACTAATTAGATAGATTCTTTTACCTGCTAGATAAAAAATCCAGAGTCGCTAGGGTGCTGTTACCCGTCAGCCATAACTCGACTATCTTATTTAGTTCTTCAAAGACAATTATAAAATTTACTGTAGTGCCTCAAGAATCTACTCTAAAATATTGACCAGCTCTCGGACTATCATAATTTTTTCGAAGTCGGTTTAAAAATGCACATCCGACTCGAAAACCTATCTCTATGTCACAAACCACTTGCAATAATAAATTCTATACTTTCTAGCACTTAGCTTTCTGACGCAAGCTTATCATACAGTGAAATCCAAACAAATGATATCTTAGAGTTATTCTGAGCCAGAGTCACACATTTTACTTAGTTTTACATAATCCTGCTATATTTTCCAAGTCAATATGACATTTCCCCTAGTATACCTATTCTAATGTCGTTTTTAAATAGAGTATCTGATTTTCCTTATTTGTATTTTATATGTAACTAGTGACTTACCATTGCTTTGCTCGCATAATGTTGCTACAACTTAATAGGAAGATCTTTTTAAGAGGAATAATTCTGTATTACATTGTTTTCATATAACTTTATTAGTACGAGTGTGAGGCATGCCAATGAAGCTCGAAGTCAGCATGATTTTTTGCGACATCTTCAATAATCATCGTTATATTTCTGCCAATTTATACAAACCCTTAATGAATTATACACTAAAACCTTCCTCGTGAATTACTCCATCTGTTGGTGAACATTGTATGAAAAACCGTTGGGTAGTTTTTGAGTTTATTGTGTTCAGATATACAGACCGACGCGGTGGGGGACTTAATTTTATAATAGGTATGTGATGTATGTATGTATGTAAAAGAAAATACGTAGTAAGTTTGATTCTTGTGGAAGCAACTCAAGGGCGATGTTAAAAAGCACATTGAATTTAAGTATAAGAGCTTAAACTCAATATTTTTTTGAATTGAACAAACAAATGCTTATTTATGGAATATGGATTCTAAAGTATAAAAATATCTATTATATCTATATAAATAAATATATAATATAAATATATAATAAAATCAGTGCATTAAATATTTTTTTGGAAAATATAATTGAAATAGACATTATTATCGATACAGAGGCCGAATTTATAGATTTTAGAATCTTTGTCTGTTTGTCTGTCTGTCTGTCTGTTACCACATCACCCAAAAACCAATGGAAGGATTTTAATGAAATGTGGTATGATGATAGCTGATTATCCGGGTTAACATATAGGATACTTCTTACCGCAGGAAAATATCTCATTTCTGAGCAAAAATACAAAAACTGCAATTTAAGAGTATACTAATATTATGGAAATTCTAAGAATTTGGTTTTTGGTCATGTAAACGCAGGCGGAGCCGCGGGCAATGCTAGTTTTCTTTAAAAATTTTACAACTCAAGCCTAATTTTTTCTAAGTTTGAAGTAGACTAAAAATTAATTTATGTTTACATATGTATTTCAACAATAGTATTCAAATGCATCAAAGAAGCTAGCTGGGTTCGAACCTGTTACCGTTTTTACCTAGAAAAATAATACATATCTGTTACATTTAACCAAAAATCCTAACAATCCTAACAAGATATAAAAACGATAAAACAACATTATGCCCCCAACATATTATATGACGTCATAAATTTTTGCCCATATTATTTCCTAGAATATCGTAATGTACCAATCTGAGAAGGTTGAACGAAAATTTGGGGTGTACGGTAAATAAAACGAAATTGTCGCCTCAGGGCTATCCCCGTGATATACGAAACGAGCCTTTTTAAACTTTAGTTTATAAAATGGTGGATTTTAATAAAACAAATATATTAGATACTTAATATCAATACATTCCGGCCTGATAAAGATGTAATCGTTCTTATATAATATTATAAAGAAGCATAGTTTGTATGTTTGAACGCGCTAATCTCAGGAACTGCTAGTCTGATTTGAAAAATTATTTTCGCATTAAATAGCCCGTTTACTCAGGAAGTTATATTATCATGCTACTACCATAAATGTCACCAAATCGTACAGACTTCCGTACATTATTACTAATAGTATTAAGCCAAATATTTTTTTTGTCGTTTTAGCGCGAGCGAAGCCGCTGGTTCTGCTAGTCTAAATATAAATAAAAACAGAACAGTTCAGTACCTTTTTCTTCTTTGTTTTTCAACCAGTTTAGTTTTTTTTTCTTTAATTGCTATTGACGAATTGATTTTAGTATTATCAATAAAAAAATATTATTGTCAAATTTCGACTACTGGGCGATCACTGAGCAGTTTAATAATGTCCTATTAATAATTCTTATTATGTAATAAAAAAACATACATAGAGACGAACATAGAACCTCCTCCTTTTTGGAAATCGGTTAAAACTCAAAATCAAAGTATAGTGAGATTTTCTACACTATCATTACTATGGCAATAAGCAGGAATAAGATATTTTGGGCAAAAAGATGTGAACTATACAAAATCTTAGAAGGAAGTTGAATATTAATGAGACTAATTACAATTCTCTCGTAAAACAAAGGATTCGAGCACAGGATTTCTTACTTACATTCATAGTAAGTAAATGTATCCAAAATTTATTCATTACCGCCATTGTGACGAACAATGTCTACTTGAAATGATTTTCCCATTCAAAAGCTCGAATTACAAGCTTTCGCCTTCTATGGTATCCCATTTATATTCATGATTAATTGTACCAAAGCATGTAACTCATATTGAATTATAAATTAGCTATCAATATATCGGATGTAAAATATATTATATAGGTAATATTGGTGCGTTGTCTTTTATATAATACGTTTAAGCTTCGAGTTTAATTTAGAGAAAGTATTATCTGATCGCCTTTCCATAACATTGTTAAAGTAAAAAAATAATAAAAAGGGCACGTGCGCTT